GCTGTTACAAAAAACGCAATGGAATCTTTAATATGCACAAACTTATTTGTGTAGTGGTAAAATATCTGCTGTGCAATGCCTTTTATATTGTGAATACCTAGGTGTTTAGCAAAATATTACAATGCATAGCTCCATTTGGTAGCTGAAAACCATGAAATGATGTGATCTCCTGAAAGTACATTAACCAAATGTTAAATATCTTACTCTCTCTCATAGGCGCCATTTCATCTGAAGAAATAATTAAATATTCCCATAGGATTAGTGCCAGCAATGCTGTTTGTGCTCCTTTAACATGGGTACCAGGTAAATTTTGAATTTCAAGAATAATCTGTATAAATTTGTCGTACTTTCATTGATGACTTCACAATTGCCCTTTTATTATAATATAAAGTAGATATTAACTGTTTTACAAACCTGCTTAATGAAAATTGTTGTTTCCCTTGGACTGGATTAGAGATGTATATATATCCAAAACTTAGTATAATTTTTTCCTGAGGGATGCTCATGCAGTTTTTCCTGACAAATTCATAAAGTTTTCACTCATAATCCTTTGATATTGCCATACTCATCAGTGACAGGGGCATTAGAAATTATTGAGAGTGGCAGGCAAAGACTTCTCAGTGCTTGGGTCTAGAACCACCCTCCTGGTACAGTCTGGAAGGTTTTCTTTGCTAAAAAGCAAAGCCAAAATTAAAGACTTGCTAACAGAGAGAGAACAGATATACCTTCTAAAGCAGAGGGGTTCAATCTTTTTGGTATGCATATCACAAAGCACACCCTGCACTTTCCCTGAGTGCCACTCTGATTCCATTCCTCTGCCCAATCTGTTGCTGTGCTTTCTGCTCCCTGTCTGATCTGTAGCTCTGCTTTCTGCCTGATCTGCTGCATGCCACACACACAGGCTGCCTGTGCCACTTGTTGCATACTTGCTAGGGGTTGGCCACCCCAGTTCTCAAGTGAGTTTTTGAGTAGTTTTTGGCCCCACTTGAATTAACAAGGGCAGTCTAGAGAATATATTTTGGTTTTATGACTTTCAGAATAGGTGTACTTCTCCTTGCAGATGAGAACAATCTGTGTGATATTTTTTTTTAAGGGGACCCACGTAGGCCATATCCTACAGACTTGGAAATGAGGAGTGGCTGGTTGGGTCAGATGAACAACCCATCCACTAATGGAGTAAATGGACACTTACCAGGGGATGCACTGGCAGCTGGCAGATTACCAGGTAATGGAAGAATTTGGATGTCTCTTTGGTGAATGAGAAATGCAGTAACCAGAGAATGTATGACTCTAGCCCATCACCCAAATGTCCTTTAGGTAGTGAAGTGGAATTAAAACTGCTAAGATTCTGGCCAGTGTTGTTCCTTGGGATAAGGGGCTATGAACAAAATAGTTTGAAATGACATGTTGATATAGAGGAGCACAAGAAAATAATTTTACTTTATTTGTCCTGTTGCTAAATTGAATTGAGGTGATAGGATAACTAGTAAACTGTTAAAAAATATGGAAGGAGAGATACAGAGGCAGTCAAGCTTGTCTCAAGGCCCAATTCATTTATTTTTCATTTTTAGTTTGATTATTTAAAATTGCACATTTAAAGATGGAAAAACTTTCAGAACAAATGTTTACTTTCTTAGCAGTGAAAACAAATCTGGTACCTAGAATACAAGCCCACGGGTCAGTTCTAATCATTGCACTATGGTCTCCAGAAAGTTGCTGAGGGCTAGATCCAGTAAGGGATTGTTTATTCCATTAGCAATATCTTTGAGCCTTGTAATATTCAACTTTTGATCTTGTAGCCATCTGAGTGAAATCCAGAGCTCAGTCTCAGCTGCTTAGGATTTCTGTACAGTGTGTGGACACAGGTAGGGGGTCTCAGAATGGGACCCAAAACAGGGAACACCCTGGGTAGGAAGCTGCTGAAGTCAGCATGCCTAGAGAACAGCTGTCTAGAGCTAGCCAACAGGTACAATGGAGTCCTAAATGTGACTCCTCACATACCTTACATGGTGCCATGGGGGGCTGTTTCCAGTTTCCACCCACCTGGGATCCTCCTCCTAATGGGTAGGTGTTTGTACCTTTTCTTTCAAAGAGGTGAGCAAGGGTATTTCTGGTCTCTCAAAATATGACCTGAGGACAAAGTAGTGAGTAGTGTTGCCTCTCCCTTATGTAGTAGCTTGGGTGGCTAGAACACTCGCCTAGCATGCAGGGAAAATGGGATTTATTTACTACTTCTGCCTGGGGGGATTCAAACTCACATCACTTATTTCTCAGGTAAATGCCCTCACAGCTTAGCTATAGGCTGTGCTGGGTAGGGGCACTGCCCTGGATGTTGGAGGTCTGAGTTAGAATCCCTCGATAGCAGACAAAGTTGAACAAAGGTTTCCCCCATCTTGGGTGGGTGTGAATGTTATAGCTAGCAGCCTATCCATCACCACCATCTTTTGTAGCTGCACTTGAAAAGAGTATTGGTCGTCACCAGAGACGACCCGAACAGGGATGGCCCTGGTCGCCACTATGTTCTGTGGAAGGAGCTGCATTCTGTTGCCATATTGGGTATATTCTGTGAATGCCTTCAATATCAAGCCTCTGATAAAGACTTACGTAAAGGAATGTTTAGTGTTTGTAACTTGATTGGGTTTAAATGTGAGCAGTGTGCTAAGCTTTGTAGCTCTGTCAAGACGGAGGCTCTTTGGAGCATGTCTAAAAACAGAACCTGCAAGTGCCTGCGAAATTTTAAGAGCAAAAGCTGGTGTCCATGGAGTTGAGTTGCCTCAGTTTAGGCAGCAACTGAGCAAGGTTTTCAGGATTACAGTATTAAACTTTGGCACGCACTTCCGCTGAATTCTTTTTTTTAGGAGCCTAAATCCTCTTTTGGATCTTGGGATTTACTACTTTCCCATCAGTGAATCTGAGGCAGTAGTATTCACTCTTTTCTCGATGGTGTTATAAAGGTTAGTTACTTTGTATAGGACCCTGAAGATAAAAGCCACTGTACGAGTATTGCTATTTTGATATGCTTAATAATCTGATCTTTAGGCTAGAGTAGGGTAGATCCTCTTCTTTCCAAGGCCTGATGGAACAGGCCTCTTCAGTAAATAAATGGCTTTTACAAGAAACTTTTCAGCTGCCGTTTGAACTGGTTGAGCTTGTTTGTCTAACATGTGCTATTGAGGATTTGTCTTCCACTGAAGAGAGAACTTTCTTTTTAAAAAATCACGTTTAACAATGTACAGATCTATGCTCGTGGAACTTCTGTTAAAAACGTACTTGTCTACAGATGATGTTATCAAAGCATTGTTGTGTTTGTTTTCCAGATGTGCTTGCCCCTCAGTATCCCTGGCAGTCAAGTGATATGTCAATGAACATGCTGCCTCCTAATCATAGCAATGACTTTATGTTGGAACCACCAGGGCACAATAAGGAGAATGAAGATGACGTAGAAGTTATGTCAACAGACTCTTCAAGTAGTAGTAGTGATTCAGATTAGGTACTGGAAGGAGACAACATTCAAACCAGACTTAATTTCTGTTGCAAACACCACTTGGATACTGTTCATCAAAACTTGCAGTACCAGCCCCAAATGTTGACTCCATAGTGAGAAGATAAAGATTGTGTACAACTCAAATGGCAATTTGTTTTCGTGAGCTCTTTGGCCTAGACCTTATCCATAAGACACTATAAAAATGAGCAAAAATTCCTGGTAATTTTTTGCTTGAGGAAGCTTCATCAAATTTCCAGTGAATCATTGCTGTAAACTGTGTATACATCTGTGTTTTTTTTACTGCACATTAGACAGTATATTAAGTTCCTGGGAAAGAAGTTGTAAGGGGAATCCCCTTGGATGTTAGTAACTTGCTCTTTTGATAATAGCCATTTAAGGCACAGAAAAGATGTAAAAATGTGTAGATTTTAACAGCTGTTTTTTTTGTTACTTACTGCCGGAACTCAAGTTCTTGATCATCATGTGCTTCAAGAACTAAAATGTAAAGTGGCAATAAGCTTTATACAAGAAAGTTTGTAATTATTGTAATATACAGTGAATGGTATTCTTATAAATAAATTCAACTTTAATGTTGTTTACTTTTCAATTTGCAGAATTTAATATTAATTTTATTGTGGTATTGGATAACATCTCTAATCAGCATCTCCAGAGTATGGAATCCCCATGTAATAGAAATGAGAAATTGTAGTTCAGCAGTTTCCATTTCCTACCTAAGAAACCTAGTTAAAGTTTAGATCAAAGCTGCTCTGTGTTTTCTTTTTTCATTGCTCACTCCAACATGTATGCATCTCAAAATATTTTAGCCAGAAGACTACTGAGGTGCCACATAGCCTTTTTTGAATCATGTAAATATGAACGTAGGAGTGGAAGGTACTTTCTAGGTCATAAAATCCAATCCTGTTAGCATGGGCAACCACCTCATAATCCCTTTAATAGTTTGATCAAGCTCCACTTTAAAACTGGTTGAGGGCTTTATCTGCCTACTAATCCCCTTGGAAGGCTGTTCAGAACCTAATTTACCACCTATATTTATTTCTGACTAAATTTTATACCACTTTCTTATGTGTCACTTGTCATTTAGTTGTGTAGTTCTCACTCCTTCTTGTTTCAATATGTTTATAGAATGCACTCGTAATTCTCTCACAGCCTTCATTTGGCTGGGCTAAACAAGTTTAGCTCTTTTTAAGTCTCTTTTAAGTAAGAGCTGTTCCTGCTTCATCCTAGCAGTTCCTTTTATATCTGTTGTAGTTTGTATTCATCTTTCATGAATAAGAATGACCACACTTCCCATGCAGCATTCCAGATCAGGTTGTTCTCAACATGCCCTATACAATTATGCTAATCCAATTGTATCTCTCTTAAAAATACTGCACCTAATAATCTCTGAAGTGGCCTTTTTCATAGCTGCTAATTAGCATTCTACTATAGACTGGGGGTTGTCAACTGGGGGGTACATGTACCCCTGGAGGTACTTGGGAAGCCCCCAGGGGGGGTATGCAGCACTTCTGGTTTTGCTGTGAGGGACCCCACTCATTGATCGGCTGGGAGACTCCTTGTTTCTGGACTGGCCACCATGGGTACAGCAACCAAAAAAGGTTGAAAAACCCTGCAACAGACTAATAAATCCAGGTCTTTATCTCTAGCCATTTCAGCTGAATAGCTCCCAGTTACTAGGCAAAATTCATGTTACCAGTTCTAAGTGCATGATCTTTCTTTTTATTTTTCGTTACCCATGTGCTATGAACAAAAAAAAAGGACCACTCTATATTGCTTTCTTATATTTGTGGAAAGTATGTAAGTTACTGACGCGCACAGGAGGCAGCAAAAAGGAGCCAGAAATGGAAAACTGAAGGTAAGCATTCTAATATCATGACATCTCTGTGTTCAAACTGTGACTTTACATGACAGATGCAACTAAATGAACTGCCAGTGGAGGAAAAACTGAACCCTACCCACTTCCTTCTAGGTTTCTTCAATGGTAAAGGGATCCTAAAATATCTTTGTTCCAAATTCACTTTGTTCTTAACTCTAGCAGTCTAAAGGCTTATTTGTATTATCTAGCACACTGAAGATCTGAAGCAGGAGCTTTTCATGTTTCAGATAAAAATACAACTACCCTTTTAAAGTTCTTTAGTCCTAAATTGAATAAGTGTTCACAAAAGCAAACGTTTTTAAAATAGCGTGACTAAAATATCCGTCCCCTCAGCCGCTCTGGGTTCATTGGTTCTTCAGAAGTTATAATTCTAACATTTTCCCACAATTCTCCATGGAAAACTGTGTGGACAAAATCTGAAAGGAGTTGCTTGAAGAGGCAAGTTTTAGAAGGAAATGGGACAGAGCCCTACAAGTAACAAAAACAGTTTGATAGATGATGGGAGCATGGAAGGGACACGTGAGAAAAATGTTAAGGCTCCTGGCCTCATCTAATATGACTTTGTTTTGCTGACTGACAGCAGCCCACACTCCAAGGAACATAACTTCATGTGCTTCTGGCAGCTCATCATAGCTCCCATGCAGCATCTGTGCTGAAGTCACCAGCTCCTGCAGGGGCTGTAAAAGCTTGCAGAAAGCACAGAAGCATCTACACATGTGCCTTGTACCACCTACCAGCAGAAGCCTGCCAGCAGAAAGAGGTATTGTTACCCTAGAGGTACTTTGAACATAGAGTTGCTCACTTTGCTGGTGGAACACTGTAGTAGCATAGACTAGACTATAAGTAACAATGGCAAAGGAGATGGAACCAAAGGGACACGGTAAGACTAGAAAGGCCTTTGGGCTGGCAACAGCAATATGGACTTGATATATAGTACTGCATGCAACACAGATACCACTGTTTAATACTGAACACTTAAGAGTGTGTTGACAAGAATAAGCCCAGAAACAATCACTAAAAGTTTCCTCCACACCATTTAACAACAGGCAGATGGAGGTTCTGGAGTAATACTACTGAGTATTATTTTCAAGTTTCTCTTCAGCGTTAACCTCACTCTTTACAGACTGTGAGGGTCAGAATCCTGTGAGAAACAGAAAACTCCTGATGGGATTGGTGCTAGAGAATTTAGTTTAATCACTGGGGCAGTTAACTAAGACTTCTCTTGGCCACATAATGCATCTGCCCAAATTCAACTAGGCTAGGCAAAAGAACATAAGGAAAATGTATAAATGTACATCATTGGGTGGGAACAGCTGAATGGGCTGCTGTATAAGCCACTACTTTGGAAATTCAATGTTAGAGCAACAAACAACATCAAAAACGTGAGATCCCAACATACACTGAACACTTCCGTTTTTGATTCACTGACTACATCACAGGATTAGGCAATGTAACCAAAACTAGGTATACAGAAATCATTTATTTGGTAGAGTGAAAGTTGGCAAGAACAAAAAAAAAAGGAACCTAAATGCAGCCCCTGTATCCTTGTTTTCTCACTGGCACTCCAGTCTATGCACTTTAAAATTAAGGCCTCTGCTTAACGCAGGATCAATAAAACAATAATTGAAACAGATTCACACCACATGGTCCTGTTTCCTGTTTGTGCTTCTGCAGTATTTTTTTCCTTTCTGTTCCCAACTTCACTTAGGACCTTTCCCAGTCTTCACTTTGTCATACTCATACAACTGGCTTATGTATAGACAACTGCAGCCATCATGTTCTCACACACAGCTATTTTATTTTGCGGATACAGCCATTGCCATGACTTGATGTATGATACTCCTACAAGGACCATGCAGCCACCCAGCTACCAAAGGTACAACCAGAGGTTGACTTCTCTAGGATTCCTATGCCTAGCACCGTTTTGGCTTTGTCAATGGGGAAATATGGAGAACAGGGCTGTGCAATACATCTCTGTAGATACCACGTATGCAGACAGTCTTTCTGAAATGAGGTCTTTATCACATGTTCCTAGGCCATCTCCTGGTGCCTTCCAGTGTATCCCTTGAGGTGATGAAGCTCTTCTGTGAAGGGGTCGTACCCTTGCTCTCTCAAGCACCGCAAGGCCCAGAACAGCTGCTCAGCCAGAGGGAATTTGTCCCATGGGACCCACTCCCAACCTGCGCAGAAGGCAGCAAAGGAAGAAGCCTGGCATGCAGGGAACCCCCCAGAGGCCACCATCTCCCTGCACACCAGTGTTGCCAGGTCTTAAATATGAAGTTTTCATATTGGAAGCTCATATTTATAACGTACACTAAAAAAAATACACAAATAAGTCTTATTTACTTTATATTGTTTGCTGCAAGTGAGTTAGTGAGATCTGGGTCAAAGTTGAAACATCTTCATTTTGAGGCGAGGAGCCAAGGGCTGAAGCAAACCCCAAAGTTAGTTCAGATTCCCTGAGAACGATGTGCGTTTTGCCTATGCCACATCGATGAGCTGCCTCCAAAACTACCGTGTAAGGGTTGAAATGATCATACAAACAGGATCATTATCGTGCACCTGGCAACACTGGGGGGGCTGCGCCCTCCACCCGCAGTCCCTATGATGTCCTTCATGCCGGCCCTGTCCCGCGGTCCCCGCCCCTCACCCTCGTTCTTGTGGGGCTCCAAGTTCCGCGGCTCGTGGCCCGCCTCCGCTTCACCCTTCATGAACACGGTGACGTAGTGGTAGCGCTCCGCCGCGCACACCGCGTTCACCGCCGACGCAAAGCGCACGTTGCGCAGGTACAGCGCCGCCTCCTCCAGCACCTCCCGCTCCGCGCATGCGCCGAGGCTTTCTCTGCCGGGGGAAGGGCAACACGTGGCCGTTACGCGTGAGCTCAATGGCTCCAGCCTCGGGGGAGCAGCCCCCGCCGGCCCCGCCCGCCGCGGGGGGAGGGGCAAGCAGGAAGCGCCTACCCGAACTCCAAGTGGCCTCCAGGCAGCTGGTAGGTGCCGCCGCCGAGGAGACCCTTGCGCTTGCCCAGCAGGACGCAGTTGGGGTGCGCGGCGCTGGTGATCACCACCCCCACGCCCACGCTGGGCCGCGGCGGCTGAGCGCGCCCGTCTCCCCGCGTCCTGTCCATGCCGTCGTCAGGCCGTGATGTCAGCGCGACTCCACCCCCATCTCCCTGCGCCTCATTTTGGCCGCCAGGGGCCGCTCCGCGGTGGAGCTGCGCATGCGCATGCGCATACGACCTCGCGCTCAAGGTCGTGGCTAGGCTTTAGTGTGGGAGCGGGGGTGGTGTGCGCATGCGCGGTGGTGCAAGGTGGTGGCCCGCGGCTCTGCGGGGGGCGCGCAGAGTCCTACAGCAGCGGGGCGGGAAGGGGCCTCCAGGGCACATCTTGTCCAGCCTCTGCCTGAGGCAGGGTCATGCCCATCCAAACCTGCCGCTACAGTCGTTCCTTCCTTGGATTTACTGCTCCTTTCCCTCCCCCTCCGGTCTGCTTCAGCTATAGCCCTCTGGAGATTGCCCTCGCCCTCTTCCGCTGGCTTCTCTGCACCCTTTGCTGCCAGCCCAACGTCAGGGAAGCCTGTGCACTGCTTTGCTGTCCTGCTGGGAGGTGGCCACATGCCCAGATCTCTCACTTGAAGCAGTCAGTCATCTGAAGACCCCTCCTGCCACCCTGACGTTACTGGCATCTGAGCTGCACTGCAGCCAATTCAGATTTTACGCTACTGCTGTGGGTCTGCTCTCAGAGCAGCATAAGGAGGGAAGGGGCAGTCCACCTAATGGGAGAGAAGCAGGGCTGGAAGAGGACCTCCAGAGGTCATCTAGTCCGACGGCTGGATTGCACCTATCCAAAACATCCAGTACAAACCATTGCATAACCCAGGGGTGCTTAGCACCTGGCCTGTGGGCCACAGTCAGTCTCAACCCCATGTCATTGGGTGCACAGGTCTGTGGGGGGCCCCAGACCCTAATCCTTGCACAATGAGCAGAGGCCTGATCCTGGGATCTGCAGCCATATGGAGGTGGCGCAGGGCTCCAGGGCCCAACCCGGGTGGGCAGAGGTTACACAAGGCCATGGAGCCCAGTCCTGGCACACACAGTCTAATCAAGCCCATGGACAGGTGACACCAAGCTGGGGGGAGTAATAGATACACTGAAGGTAGGGCTAGGATTCAGAGTGACCTAGGCAAATTGGAGGATTGGGCCAAAAGGAATCTCATGAGATTCAACAAGGACAAGTGCAAAGTCCTGCACTTAGGACCAAAGAATCCCATGCACCAGTACAGGCTGGGGGGCTGACTGGGTGGGGAGCAGCTCGGCAAAAAAGGACCTGGGGGTTACAGTGGGCAATAAGCTGAATATGAGCCAGCAGTGTGTCCTTGTTGCCAAGAAGGCTAACGGCATACAGGTTTCTCTTGCTTTATGCTGTACATACATTCATGGAATACAGTGTATAACTCACATTTGCATAAAAGGAACCCACTTTAGAATGTCACAAATAGGGATACATTCCAAGATGTCGACTGTACTGACCCCCAGGCCCATTTTCACCACTTTTACAAGATAATTCTGGTACTCACCAACAGGAGGCAGTACGCACAAGCACAGGGCACTGTCATAATGGGGATGGCAACTACAGTAACACGTTGCAGACAATGAGCGAGGAGCACAGAACCACACAGGACACTATATTTGGTGCATGTCACTTCCACAATGCATCACACAAAGCAGCTGACTGTGGGCTTCCACCACACTGATTGCATAAGCGTGAATTTACCTTGCATATAACAAATTTTGGGCATAAAAAGGCTCATCACATAAGAGTGAATTCACACATACAAAACTCGCATAAAGTGAGGGAATCCTGTACTGGGCTGCATTGGTAGGTGTGTTGCCAGTAGGTCAAGGGAAGTAATTATTCCCCTCTGTTCAGCACTGGTGAGGTCACATCTGGGGTACTGTGTCCAGTTTTGGGCCCCCTCACTACAGAAAGGATGTGGACAAATTGGATCTAGTCTGGTGGAGGGTGACAAAAATGATGAGTGGGCTATGGCACATGATCTGACTATTACAAGTTCCAAGCCTACAAGGAGGACAATTATGAAGGTGACAATGAACTGAATGGAAGATAAATAGATAAGCCACACACACTCGGGCCCTTCACTAGATTGCTTCCGTCGGACCCTTCCCTAAACATATATGAAATAGGCAATATTTGCCAGTCTTTAAAAAAGGGCTTTCATCTTCGAGAGGGTCCATATAAATGTCAACCAAGAGGAAATTCTTGGTTTCCCCTAGCTCGGGGTGGACAAAATGGCAGATCTGGCTGGCAGCCGGACTCCGTTTCCCTGCAGCCCCTGCCCATAGCATGTGGGCAGTGGATTGCAGCTCTGCCCCAGTTCCAGACCATGCTGTCACCACCACAAGATCCCAACCCTGGAGCAGCTCTCTGCCCAGCTGTGCACCCTGCCAGCACTGCTAGGGTCGGTCTCCATGGATACCCTACTCCTGCGCTGTTATGGCCCCGCCGCTGCATGGAAACCGGCTGCAGTGATGCAGGCAGGGGCTGCTGGGAAATAGAGTTCAGCTGCCAGCCAGATCTGCCATTTTGCCCACCCGGGCATTTGCTCATCTGGTCCATGGGCCAAACTTTGCTGGGCCCTGCCTTAGCAGGAAGGTATGTAGAATTCTACCTCCCCTACTGCACTAAGTCATATTTCCTTATCTTTAAAACCCTTATCTTCTTTTCAGTTTATGAGTAACTGGCTTGGTAAAAAGTTTTGTGGTCATGGCTGATGTATGTTGATAAACATTATTTTATTGGGTGAATCTATTCTTTCACCTTCATTTTTTTCTACAGTTTTTTTGTGCAGAGCTTTGTGACATAGTTTTATTACATTTTGTCCATATTGGCTTAATGTTTGTTTAAACCAAAATACCTGAATAAGAAGCAGAATAAAGAGAACAGATGAGAATCGGTCAAGAATAGGAAAATAAAAATTAATCTTATGCTGAATGGGAAGATAGGAAAGCCTGTGAAACTCAGTGCTAATGTCTTGCATCACTGTGTACTGACATACTTTATAAGAAAAGCCCTACTGTGAATCTTTACTAACTTACTGTCTAAGGTAAATTAGCTGTTACCAAATTGCAATTAGGTAACAGCTAATTTACTTTAGACAGTACAATATATGAAAAACAGTAAAATAAAAAAATAATTATGGAAATGACAACTTTCTATGAGCAAAAAACATCTTTATGGTGACGAAAATGTTGTGTATTCTGGGATTCTCTAATTGCAGATTTGCCATGGGACTGATCCCAGTCAGAATTGTGATTCAGAATTTAAGCTGTTTATAACTTAGACTAAAACCTCATTATAACAACCCCCTACTTTTAACAGTCTTGATAGCAAGAATTTATTTTTTTCATTATAACAACACAAGTTGACTAACCCTGTTATATAACCCAAGCAGGTATCATAGGAATTCATTATAATGGGGTTGTATTGCATGTAACAATGTGAACTGAATGTTAAACCAATGTCATACTTTCTTCCTAAATCTGCAGAAATCCTAAAACAGTAGCTATTGAAAATATGTAGACTCCCACTATTCAAGCTCATCTGGCTGTCAGCTTTAAAAACTAATACTCAAGCCAAGGTAGTTAACTATCTTTTATCATTTTAACACATATTTAGATGTGTTCATATCACTGTCCCCAAAAGTTGTATTTACTCACTTACCAAATACTCCAGCATCTCCCTGAACAACTTCCTTACAATGGAGAATAAATAGACAAGCCACATAAACTCCATATTTTTATATGACATGTAGCACATTTAAAGGAAAAATGGGCATAATACAATCAATTCAATGTAAAAAAAATACGAGGGATAATATTGTTTGTTCTTTTTCATGTTTAATTTTTAATGTCCTTTTTCTAATTCACCTGAAACTGTTACAGACTTCGTAGTCTGCTGTAACAGGATGCTATAAAAAGTAAGGGGTTTTGTTGGCAGGGTTTGGGCCCTATTTACTACAGAGTACACAGAAGCTTAATAATATGCCACATTTGCATGTGTACTGGTATCCATCTTCCCTGTTTCTCTTTAAAGGAGACTCATTCTTTTTGTGGATCGTGTCTAAAAAGCCCATGTTTTAGAGCTCCTGCCAGCTGCTTATGGGGGCAAGTAAATTCCTCTCCCCAGTGTATTATTGATTGAGGAGTTTTTTAATATTTGAACCATCTTTCAATGGAACACAGTCAAAGTTGAGAATGTGACCCAAGGCCGGATTAATGCATAGGCAAAGTAGGCACATGTCTAGGGCCCTGAGCTGTGTCGGGGCCCTGGTCCTTCCCTCCTCTGTGGCTGTGTGAATGACCCTATCTGCTTTCCTTCCCTTCCCCTCCCCTCCCCTCTGCTGGCCTCACTGCTAAAGTGGCTGCTTCCTAGTGGCAGGTCTGGGCCCCACTCCTTGTGGGTGGCAGCGCCAGAGTGGAGTGGGGAGGGGAGACTCAACTGGCCCAGGTCCCATGAGTTTGTTTGCCTAGGGCCCCACTAAAGGGTTAATCTGGCCCTGATTTGACCCTTTCCAGGCCTCTCTTCATGCAGAATATGGGACAGAGGAAAACAGTAAAGCATTGTTTTAAAATAGGTCAGTTCAAAGTAAAACTTCTATGGAAATAAAGTTATTATATTAAAGTCGAGGTTTGACAAACTTAAGTAAAAATAACAAAAATTAGTTGTCATATCATCATATTTGTAGTGAAATTTAAAACCAAAGTCTGTTTGCTTTTGAACATTAAATTCCTATTGGACCTCTGGAAGAGAGAATGTATACCTTTGCTATCCTAGCTACATACAAACTGAAGCCAGTCATCACTGACAGTCCCTCAATTTGAGGATGATCTCTACCACAGTTCATTAATGGGTCTTGAGGTGACTTAACAGTCCAGGTCTTGAGCCACAGCTCTGTCTGCACAAGTTGCAAGTCTTTCCTAAGGAGAATAGGCTGTAGGCTGGAATTACTCCCCTTTTCCTTCCTCTGGTCTGTCTTCTCTTCTTTGAAGGCAAGATGCTTTATCTTGAAATTGATTGCTGCTTGGTTGAGATTGCGGTGCCGTTGGAGTTGGGTAGTGTCATATTGAATGAAATAGTTTGAATGTTTGTAATAGTTGCCCATTAGCCAGTTTCAGGAAGAAGACAAGATTTATCTCCTTATCTAGGTCATTGTTTTGGTCTACGTGCAGAAGGTCCTGACTTTGCTCAAAGTCTTAACTCTTGAATTTTATCTTTAGAGGCCTTTAACAAAGAGAACCTAAAAATGACCCTTAAGCAAATATCCCGAGTTCCGAGAGATCAAACCCTAGGGCCTTTTGACAAGATTGGAAAGAAAAGGTCACTTGCAGTGGTATGGAAGTTCCCCAAAGTAATTAAAATGATCAACAAAAGAAACTAATTACTAAGCAAAAGAATCTGTTGAGTAAGTTCCGAGCCCAAATTTGGGGGTAGTGACAGGTTTGGGCAGGAGTGGCCCAAGATGGCAACTCACTCAATAAAAACTGTAACCTACTCTTCCAATTTAGAGGTAAACTTCACTT